TTCATTAATAAAAGCTCAATAAAATATTTAAATTCCTGAAACTTGGTCAGACCAACATTAACATCTCACACATTAACAAATAACACCAATTCTAATGGTAATGGCTCCAAGTTGGCATTCATACAGGCAAACGAAGGTAAACATTTATAGCTGGATCTAAAAACATCAAACATTCCCTAAAATAGTTTAATAAAACAAATGTGAATCTTCCTTCCAAAAACAAAACAAAATAAAATAAAAAACCCCACAAAAACAAAAAGCCCCCAAGTTGTCCTGAAGTTGAGAATTTCTATCAGATCATCAGATCATAACATGCTTAGGGCATTGCCAATGCTGCCTGTCTGCCCGAGCTCAACAGTGAATGGATAAAGAAAGCAATTCACTCAATAAAACTAATCATTGCAGAAAAAAAATTCAACACAATTAGTTTCTATCTGCAATCATGCGTCACTAACCACAACCCAACCACCCCATAGGCTAGACCATCCTAAGAGACCCCAATTAGCACTAGTTTTGCCGTATAAATTTAAAAATAAATTCATTTTACTTGTCTACATTTTCCTTTAAGGGAGGTAGAGGTAGAGGGATTCACCCAACTTGGCACACAAGTAAAAAACTATAAACTACTTTTGAAGCGGGCCCAAAAATTATCCTTTTAAATACACAAATCCAAGGACTGAGGAATTCTCAGTATCAACCATGCTCAGTCAGCAAATGTTAACTCCATGGTGACACATGGGTCAGTGGTTGCCACACTGGCACAAGCACATATATGACAAAAAACTCACACTTTAGAGCCAAAGTTAAAATCTGTTCTTTGAGCATACAGGATGAGAAGTATATATGGAGGTTTTCACTATTCAAGTGAATGAAAAATAGATACAACTCTTCTATATTTAAATAACAGTTGATTATACTTCATTACAAAGCCCTTGGAATTTTAAATATTTCCATATAGATACCCAATGTTGGTTGGGTAAGTTGGAGAGAATATATTTCAAGTTACTAAGTTAATAGAGCTGGCCAATTATCCTTCTAGCACAATCTTTAAAAGCAATTATCAACAGCAAATTCAATTTACTATGGCTTAGGATTGGAAAGTTTTCCAAAGCAACTCTTGTCAATATTATTCTCTTTCATGCAAAGAGCATTTGACTAACCTTATTACAGTGACGCCCAATACCCATTAGGAAGTTATCTGGCTTAATGTCTCTGTGTATAAAATTCTTTGTATGCACATATTCAATTCTACTGATCATCTGAAAAAAAAGGGAGATAAATGAGTTAAGTGATAAAAAGCAACACATTTCTTCCCCAAGTATTTCCACAGTTTAATTAAGAGTTCACAATGACAGCATTAGAAAATATTAAATGCAAAAAACAAAAATTCAACACGTATCTAGTGTGCTGGATAGCTAAGCATAAAGTATGATCAAAAACCAAAGAAATGCTTAAAAACTTTGAAAAGTTTTATTATAGTAAAAGAATCACTATCAATCCTCAAAATTCTTTCTTCTTTCTTTGAACACTTATCCCACGATTCTTGCCACTTTCTGAAGCAGTTCTGGAATTTGGTTTTCTTGAGCATCTTCAGGAGTGCTCCCGTGTCGGCCTCAATCACAAACCAATTCAGAACAATTACCATTCATGGTCCCTTTTAGACTTTGGGCAACAGCCAGAAAAAGATGCAGTGCCATATCTGGTGAATAAGGACACAATATAATGTTTTTGCAAGTCTGCCTTTCTGTGTGATGGCACATGGGACCCACATTCACCATATTTTTGATCTCAGCTCACATAGACACCAAAGAGGACTTCCAGAACTGCTTCAGAAATGGCAAGAACAATGGGATAAGTATATCGGAATCAAAGGGAAGTATTCTGAGGGAGATTAATGGCAATGTATCTTTTATTGTAAAGTTTTAAAGACATTTAAATATTCACCATATATTTCTACCACACCTCATATAATGCCCTTTGGCTTATTCTTTCAGTATTAATGATTAAAGACAAGTCCAACTTGAAAGGCTTGCTGTTTGTGACATTCGAATTATAAAAGAAATACATTTGGAATTGTTTAACTTGTCACAATGAATTAAATAGAGTAGGTAACCTGTGTTAAAATAGCTCAGTAGGGGGAATGGTACACCTCAATGTGTTTACCATGTGCAAAGCCCTGGGATGGATTGCCAATACAAAAAACGCAGTAATAACTAAGGCCTATTTCCATTCTCTTCTTCTTCTTCTCCTTCTTTTTTTTTGGTACCAGGGATCGAACTCGGGACCTTGTGCTTTTTTGTGAGGCAGGCAGCAGAACCACTGAGCTAAATCCCTGGCCCTCCATACCATTCTTTCAATCATATGTAGGTGTACTTAGGAGGAGTGCTGACCAACCAACAAATTTAGCTGTAAGTAACTTGTCACCTCAAACTGAGAAGCACTCTATTTATCTCCCACTCCCTCTGCCCCATCCTGGAGATTGAATCTAGTGTCTTCATACTGTGCTATGTTTGGTGCTCCTCCCAACCCCTTTATTGTGTTGAGAAAGGGTCTCACTAAGTCACTAGCTGCCCGGGCTGGACTTAAAATTTGTGATATTTTAATGTTCCACCCCTCATTCCTGGAAGTTGGTAGCTACAACATAAAACACGTTTTATATATAGAGATACCTACCTAGATGTCAGGTTTCTTTCCTTGTGCATTAAAAACAAAACAAAACAAAACTCTTCTGGCTCTTCTCCATGCTCATATTAACATGTCATTCTAACAAGCTTTCTTTATTATCTTGGAAATTATGTCAAGACATATACTCTAATCATTATTTTTGGTGCTAGGGATATTTTAAAAAGTATTCCACATCCACACACAGGGCCTCATGCATGCTAAGAACACATCCTACTACTGAGTTACACTCAGCTTTGTAATATCCTTTTTAATGGCTATTAAATATTTTATAGTACAGATGTTTTCTCTAGTTATTCTCCTAGTTTCCAGTTTTTCTCCCCATAATCAACAATACTATCAACACATATTTATATATTCTTAACTACTAGTGTTATTATTGCTATGATTACAAATCTAACAAAATCACAAGGGTTGAAGTGTATATATACTTTTCATTTTGATAACATTCAAATGCCTTTCAATTTTAGAGTTCTCTGCATACAACAACCTTTGATCTATTATGTAAACAGATTTTAATTTTAAAAAATATCTTTTAGCTATTTTCGGAATCTTGCTTATAAAAGTTTTGACTTTTTAAATTTTTAAGTATGTCTACCTTTTCTATAAGACACTAAGTTGTACTTTAAAATGCACTCCATATCTAAAACCTGTTAACATTATCTTTCCATCCATATGTTCTTTTTCTTCTCAGTAGGACATTTGTCCCCACTCCCCCGGATATATAGATTTTAAAATCCTAGGGAATCAGAGTTGAAAACTAAAAATGAGCACTGCTCTCTAATGTTTTCCTGCCCATAAAAGGTCTTGATCAAAATTAAAAGTTCCTTGATATTTACCCATCCATTTCTTTGTGTTTGTAGTTTTTTTTTGGTTCCGGGAATGAACTTGGGTCCTTGCGCCTGTGAGACAGCCGGCGGGACCACTGAGCTAAATCCCCGGCCCCGTATTTACCCATTTCTTAATGTAGGCCTCATTAGGTCTGTTTCTGACACCCTAGTTCCCTATCATATAATTTTTAAAAACTATTCCTCATTTTCTTAAAATTAAACTAAAATATAATGCATGAATCTAATGCATGACAAGTGAAAATCTTTTTGAGTCCTGCTTCAGTACTACTAGTGGTTAAGAATTCATTACTTCAAGAAGTATACAGGGCCAGGGATTTAGCTCAGTGGTGCTGCACCTGCCTTGCAAGCACAAGGCCCTGATTTGATGGTGGTGGGGGGGGCTGCATCCTACCCTCCACTTAGTGAAAAAAAACTCTTAGTTTAGTGCCTCTCTTTTCTCAAAAATTTGTAAGTTATAGAAGAGTGGTACACAATCTCTTCTGCTTTTCCTAAAAAGTTAAACAGTGAAACACGGATAATATTCTAATTCATGAAATATCAGTAATAGTATTTTCAGTTTTTATTTTTGCCAAAATTTCACATACCTGGTCAGCTAACATAAGTACAGTTTTCATTGTGAACCTTCTTGAACAGAAATTGAAGAGGTCTTCAAGGCTGGGTCCCAGTAGGTCCATGACTAGCACATTATAGTCTTTTTCCTGGCCATACCATCTAACAAAACAAAAGTGAAAAAAAGAAGGGAGTGTTAAGAGCAGATGATATCTATACCCATCTTCCATCAAAGTTCTGTGACTTTAGGCAAATTGCTTAATCTCACCTGGATCTACTTCCTAACTGAAGAAATAAGCACTACAGCAGTCACTCCAAAATGTTTCAGAAAGCACACCCTTTTTAAAATCATATTCCTGGTTTCCCTTTCCACAAAACTATACTTAATGATTGTTCTTTTTTAAAAAAGGAGCCACATATTTACAGCAAGCAACCACTATTAAACTCACATAGATGACAGTTACTTGCTTTTTGCCAAGAATGTTTTAATTATTCAGTGCTGCAGTATTACAAATATATGATTTATCATCACCAATATCTCAAGGACCACTAATGTTATTTATACCCCAACGACTAGGAATCATCACAATAAGTGATTTCAAATTTTGATGTTTATGAGCATCCCCTTGTATTTCAAACTTATCTACATGACAAATTCTGCTCGAATGGTTGGAGATACCCAGTACAATATACACACCTATAATCTCATCTACTTGGGTGGCTGAGGTAGGAGAACAAATTTGAGGCTAGCCTGAGCAACTTAGCAAGACTTTGTTTCAAAATAAAAAGTACAACTGGGTGTGGTGGCACACACACCTGTAATCCCAGCACTCGGGAGGCTGAGGCAGGAGGATCGCTGTGAGTTCCAGACCAGCCTGGGCTACACAGCTAGTTCCAGGTCAGTCTCAACTACATAGTGAGACCCTGTCTTAAAAAACCAAAAAGAACAAATGGTTGTAAAATTTAAACTGGGCTAATTTCTTCTGTAAATTCCAGTAAGAACTGGAAATGGTATCAAGATTTACCATAGCTGAAAGTTTGTTTTATTAGTATTCAAAAAGGAAAAGGCTTTTTTGAAACCCATGCCAAAAGCATAGCAAATGCCAGTCAGGAAACTGCTTGATCCATTATTTCTTTTTGAAGATTTTGCTCTAACATACTGTTTTACTGATAAATGTTAAGTTTAATTAAAAAAAAATCAAAATTAAGAGTATGAGAATTTAGAGCCGGGGATTTAGCTCAGTGGTGCTGCACCTGCCTTGCAAGCACAAGGTCCTGAGTTCAATACCTGGTACCAAAAAAAAAACGAGAGTGAGAGAAAGAGACAAGAGTATGAGAATTTAATATTTTAATTTAATTTTCTAGAAAATGTAGTTAGCTACGTGTGATATTCTGGTATTTCATCTTTTAAAAAGTCATCTAGGACTGCCAATGTAGTTCAGTGGTAGAGTACCTGCCTAGCATTCATGAAGCCTCAGCATTACAAAAGAACAAACCGAACCAGATCAAAAGACAATCTACTCTAACTCATTGTTCTGGACAGCCACTACCATTATCCCTTGGTGGAATCTACCAGAACTGCAAGAACTTCAAACCTAGTATCCGAGATAAAAAATAAATATAAACCTTTAATTCAGCCCTTTTCCCTAGAATCTTATGTTGAAAATAAAATATATTAAGGAGAATAAACTTAGTTCAAATTCATTCCTGTCACTTTTGCTTCATTTGGTTTTCTTGTGTTATCTGGTATTGGACCCAGGGCCTGCTCATGCTAGGTGAGCATACACAGCTGAGCTACAACTCTAGACATTAAAAAAATAAATAAATAAATAAATAAGTTTAAATTGCCTACCTAGTCTGGCCTCAAATTTGCCAGTAGCTGGGATCACAGAGGTGTGCCACTTCAACCATTCTTGAGAACTACTTGTCAGACATACAACATGGAAAACTGCCACTAAACACAGTATACAAGTAAGTTGTGTTCTCCTTTCCTTTTTCCTCTGTTTTACTTAACTGAAGCCACAAATCTATGATAGAGAGTTGTCAGTAACGTCTGTAATTTATATATGTTCTGAGATGGAGTCTTGCCCAGGCTGGCCTTCAATTCACAATCCTCTTGGCCTCAACCAGGTGGGTGTGAGAATTACAGGTATGTGCCACTACACCAAGCTTGAATTATAGCAAATTTTTAATACAAATCTAACTTACCCAGGTCTTTAAGAAAATGAGAACAAATTCAGAAAGTGCATTAAAAAAAATGATGGGAAGACAGAAAAGTCAAATAGGCCAAAGAGAAAGCAAGAATAAGTCAACTCTCAAAAGACCATGTCTCATTTCTATGCAACTTAAAAATAACTAGGTCTTTCTGCTCTACAAAGACTGGTACTTTTATCTCTTTAAACTTAACAGATGTTTTTATCTTTTATGATTCCTTTAGATTTCAAGGAGCATATATACCTTACTTCTCTAAAGTTAACACTCCGCTCTCTCCATCTGTGTTTTCTACCTGGGCTAACATGTATTGAGAATATTATTATACATGAAATAGGAGCCAGGGATGATTTGCTTTTCAAATCCTACTCTTAATTTCTACTATCACCTCCTATTTTCCATTCCCATTCTAAACTCCTCTCTACTTCCAATCCTAGCCTCAAAAGATCCTGATACCAAAGAAATCTTTCTTATGTAGCTATCCCACAGGTCTTCCATTTCACATAATTCCCCTCACTGACTATTGCCTGTATCTTCCTTTAACCCCCTGACAATACAATATTCATGTAGTGTTACTTGGTGTTTATATCTGATTGCAAAGAGCTTACTATACTGTTTTACAGAATCTGACTATCCTTTGTGCAGATAATCTGAACTATATTAACATAGAAACCTCACTCCTCCACTTTCTAGCTGCCTTCAATCTGGACTCACCTTTATAAAACTTCTTTTATGTCAAGTATGTGATGTGTTGCTACTGGGTGTACTGTGCAAGTGATGTACTTTTTTTTTTTTTTTTTGGTACTGGGGATTCAACTCAGGACATTGTGCTTGTGAGGCAGGCAAGTGCCACTGAGCTAAATCCGCAGCCTGAAGTGATGTGCATATTGTGGATTCAGATTACTAGTAAGATTAATAAAAAAAAGTTTAAATTTGCATTCTTCCCCCTGATTATGTTAATAGATATGAAAGTTTAAAAAAATGTTCAGGGGTCTCATTTTCTATTTGTTTTAAATCAATATTTTTATTTATTCAGTGCTATTTACAAGTAGGCTGAAGAATGAGTCAGTTCACAATTAATAAAAATAATCTTAACTTACTTTGAATATTAAAGAAGGTAACTTAAGTCCAAAGAATATGCTAAAAGAAAGTCAGGGCCACCTCTCTGCTCTCCCTTCCTCTAAACTAACATCCAAATTAAAACTAGTTTAAAAATTAATACACAAAAGCACAAATGCAAAATGAGATATATGCTCAAATCAAAAGAGGCAACCAAAAATGCTAAGAGAATTCAGATGAAAGATCAACAGAAATTAAACAAGTCTAAAAAAGTATTGTGAAAATTGTCTACTGCTAGGCAGATACTCAAGGGTGGATATATATTGACCGAGAAGGCAGAAAAGGACATGCTAGCACATGCCTGTAAATCCCGGAACTCTGGAGGCCGAGGCAGAAAGATTACCACAGTTCCAGGCCAGCCTGAACTGCATAGAGAGACCCTGTCTCAAAGCCAACCTAACCCAAACCAAACCAACAAAAAACCATTTTGGACCATGGGTTCCCATAGAAGAGTTAAAGTGGTAGACAGCCTGAAGCTAATGTTAAAGTCTCAAACATAAAGCTAAAGAGATTTATACTCTGTACTACTAGTTTGTAGCTGGAATATAATAAAAATCATGTTTTAGCATTATTCTCAACACCAGTATGAGATATAAATTGGAAAAGAGGAAGAAGTAACAATGACATGGGGACCAATGAAAAGTAGTGTTTTATAGGGGTTGGAATACAGCTTAGTGGCGCCTAGGCTGAACAACAACAAAAAAGGGAGAGTTGTGTATATAGCTAAGATTGCAAGTTAGCGTTTCTGTTTCTCTGAAAAATCTCCTTACAAAAATGTCGTTTTTCTTGGTATTGGGGACTGAACTCAGGACCTTGTGCTTGTGAGGCAGGCTGTGAAACACTGAGCTAAATCCCTCACCTTCATTACTAAAATAGAAACATCTGCTTGGTGTGGTGGCACACACCTGTAATCAGCACTCAGGAAGCTGATGCAGAAGGAACACCATGAGTTCCAAGACAGCCTGGGAGTACTTAGTGCGTTCAAGGCCAGACTACATTACACTGTGAGATCCTGTCTCAAAAAACCATTAAAAAAAAAAAAAAAAAAAAAAAAAAAAAAAAAAAAGTATCTTAGAAAATGAATGAAATTATTTATTGCTATGAGACCGTGTACTTCCAAGAACAGTCAGTGTAATTCTTACAATATGCAATTCATATGGACGTACTCAAACAGGTGTAGCACTGGTTCAATCACTATTAAGGACACAAGAGCGAAGAATGGTAACAATGTAGGTCCTCCATTTCAGGTTATCAGCCTCATAGGCACAGACATTTTGTTTACCTTGTCATAACCCTGTATTTCCAGCATCCAATTTTTTACACACAGGAAATAATCATTATTTGCTGAATGAAAATTAGCTATTAGAAGCTTCAAAAGAATAGGGAGTACCTGATTTAGTAGATGAATAAAAAAAATAAGGAGTGCACAAACACTTCCTGCACTCAATGTATGGTGTAACATCATAAGGAAGAAAGAATTACTTGTCTTTGAATCAAATAAGCCAGGTAATTAATTCCACAGCTTCAAAAGTGACAGTTTTAGCTGACTGCAGTGCCAGGAACCTAAACCCCAGCCATTTGGGAGGCAAAGGCAGAAGGATCACTTGAGACCACAAGTTCCAGACCAGCCTGGAATTTGAACATGCATACATGCATACACAAAAGGGTAGAAGTGGTACACGCCTGTAATCTCACCTTCAGGAGGTCAAAGCAGGATGGTCACTGCAAGTTCAAGGCCAGACTGGATACAGAGTGAGACCCTGTCTCAAAAACCCAGTCTTTTCCAATACTACTGGTGGTGAACCTATATCATGCATGCCACAGTAGGCTTT